GTAGTTCTAATATTCCCATTTCACAGATCAGGAATCAGAGGCACAATGAGGTTGAATAACTTATCAAAGATCACATGACTAGTAAGGGTTGGGAGCCAAGATTCAACCTCTTAACTGTTTTTAAGGCTCATTAATAAAATAACTCAATTTATTGAGCAACCGCTATGTGTCAGGCAATCTTCATTGAAGTTTCACAACTCTTTGAATGAAGGACAAGGACAATCTCTATTTAATGGGTGATGCAACTGCGGTGTCATCAGGTTTTGAGAGGATCCAAACCCAGGCAGTGAAGCTGCAGCCCCTGTTCTCCTCTTGTGCATTCCTTTTATTAAGCACCCAGTTTGTCCCAGGCGCTAGACTAAGTCCCGAGAGTGAAGTGAATGAGATTAAGACAATAAAAGCAGTGGTTAAGAAGCTAGACTTCAGAGTCTCAAAACCCTCTGTGTGATTTTGGGTAAGTTCCTGAACTGTTCTGAGAGTCGGTTTTCTCATCTGTAAAATGGGAATGTACCAGGACCTCCCTCAGGGTTGTTACCAAGATTACATGAGAACCAGCACTTACCAGTGAGTTGTCATTACATGTCAGCTGTTGTTATACTGCTGTTACTATTACAATAAGCTCTGTTCCTGCCCTTAACTAGAGAAGATGCACAAACAATGTAGACATTACTGTTCCTCCCACATTAATTCTGAAAATAATTTAAATAAACCTGAACTAGGCTAAGACCTCTTGCTTGCCCAAATCAAGTGGCAGACTGAAGACAAAATCACTGGTCCCAATGTCCTGGAATGGGTTAGGATCCCTAAGGACACTAGTCACCCCCAGCCCTCCTGGAACAGAGTGGCTATAAAGAAAATACTGGAAAATCCTACCAGGACATATGACTCTGAATTGAGCATGCACATACTGGACTTACCTGAAACTTCTTCAGCACCCAATGATGAAGATGGAGGAAGACATCTAAATCTCCCCTGACTGAGGCTTCCATCTTGGTTTCCTTATCTCTGAACCAAGGCCTTTGCCCAGACCAGCAAAGAGCTGCCGTATAGTTTCTTCTAACTAGTTGAAGGAAACATCTTCTAGGTGATGATGGAGGAAAAGGAGATAAATTTTTTCCTGCCTGGATATTTATCAACCCTAAAAGGTGACTTTTATGCTGGGACAAATGGATATCTACATGCAAAAAAATGAAGTTAGAACCCCTATCTCACACCATATGCAAAAATTAACTCAAAATGGATCATGGACCTAAATGTAAGAGCTAAAACTATAATAATCATAGAAGCAAACATAGGAGTAAATCTTTGGGACCGTAGATTGAGTAATGGTTTCTTAGATAAAACACTGAAAGCAGAAGAGATAAAAGAAAAATTAGATAAATTGGACTTCATCAAAATTTTAAAACTTTTGTACTTCAAAAAGTCTCATCAAAGACTACTTCCAGATTGGGAGAAAATATTACAAAGCATGTATTTGATAAGGGATTTATATCTACAATATATAAAGAACTCTTATAACTCAGGAATTTAAAAAATTTCCAAATACCCGGGTTTAAAAACAGCAAAGGATCTGAATAGATATTCTCCTAAAGAAGATACACAAATGATCAATAAGCACATGGAAAGATATTCAACATCATTAATTATTAGGGAAATGCAAATCAAAACCACAATGAGACACCACTTCATTGTATCTGGGATGACTAAAACAAAAACAGCAGACAATAACAAATTATGGAGGATGTGGACACACTGAAACTCACAAATGTTGCTGGTGAAATTGTAAAATGGTGCAGCTGCTTTGAAAAACAGTTTGGCAGCTCCTCAAAATGTTAAAACACATTTATTTTATGACCTAGCAGTTTCGCTCCTAGGAATATACTCAATGAATGAAAACATACGTCCACACTAAAAACTTGAATGTGTATCTTATTCATAACAGCCCAAATGAGGAAACAACCCAGATGTCTCTTAGGTGATGAATGGATAAACAAAATCGGGTATGTTCATACAATGGAATATTGTTTTAGCCACAAAAGGAATGAAGCACTGATTACAACACCACAGATGAACCCTGAAAACATCAGGCTAAGTGAAAGATGCCAGTCACAGAAAACCCACATGTTGCATGATTTGATTTATATGAAATGCCCAGACTAGGCAAATCCACAGACACAGAAAGTAGATTCTTGGTTGCCTAGAACTGAGGGGAGAGGATGCAGAATGAGGGGTGTCTGCTAGTGGGTATAGTGTTTCTTTTGGGGGTGATGAAAATGTTCTAAAATTAGACAGTGGTGATAGTTACACAATGTTGAATATACAAAAAACCACTCCACTGAATACTTTAAATGACTGAATTTTATGGTATATGAATTAGATCTCAAAAAAGCTATTAATAAAAAAAAAATTACCATCATTCCTTGATTGTGCTTGAAGAAGCCAATGGAGATTTCTCTCCAAGAGAAGAGTTAACTCCTAGTCCACTTCTTACCTGGGCATGGAAACTGGGGTTCTGGCTGAAACCTGACTTTTCTGCTCACTTGGTAGAATGCCACAGTTCTACCCCTACAGAAGTTCTTGGTAAATTTCTACCCTAAGATTCCCACATTCTCTCCTATTCCAACCCCCTTTCTTTATCTGCATTGTGTATTTCACCTGCTTACCTGCTACCATTCTTCACTTATCAGCCATCCCTGGCTCCCAAGACAGTACTGGGGACCCCTGGGAGGCTCCCTATTGTTACCACCATTGCACTGAATTGTGTTGGTTGGTTCCCTGGTGCTGAGTCCTTCACTCTGCACACGCTCCCTGAGGGCAGCTGAGGTACGGGTTCCGCTGACCATTATATGCATACACACCCCTGGTTACCGCTGAATGAATGAATGAGTGAGTGAGTGAATATAAGCCTGAAAAGAACAAGTATCCGTATAGGGTGGAAAGATATGGAGGATAAGAAAGAATAGGGAAGTGGGTGGGTATAGCCCAGTGGTAGAGTGCATGATTAGCATACCCAAGGTCCTGGGTTCAATCACCAGTACCTCCATTAAAAAAAAGAATGAAAGAATAGGGAACAGGAAGAATGGAGGATTGGGACTAAAGTTATAATCCCATGTACCCACATTTTTCCATGTTTCATGAGACATGTGGATTTCTCAGTCCCACAGCCACTTTGACTGTTTAAACCTCTCAGATTCCAGAAAGGCTTCTCTCCATTTCCTATCAATCAAACGAAAACCTTTGGCCTTTCAAAGCACACTCCAAACCTTGTTTTTCTACTCTTTGGCTCAGAATTCCAAAGTAGGGGAATCTAGCCAAAGAAAATGACAAGAACAAGCACCTGAATACAGAGCGGAAAGTGGGGTGAACCCTAGAAACGTACACACAAGGTCACTGATCTGGCATTGTCTGTAAGAGTCAAAAACCTAAGTGTCCAACAGCAGGCTAGTGTACACTCTGCCATGACCCAGAGATGGAATACCATGCACCCATTAGAAGAAGCATTTCGTGATCTGGGAAAACACTTAGGAAAAAAGCAGGTTAGAAACTGGTGGGTGGGCTGTAAACCGATTGCTAATACATAAACTGTGCACAGGAAAAATTTTAAAACCAGAGAGAAAAAAAACACACCAGAGATTTCAGGGGTTTTCTTTTGGTAGTGGGACTACGGGTGCATTCTGATCTCTTTTTTAAAATAACCAGGTGGTCTATAACAAACAGGTATGGCTTTTATGATCGGAGAAGACAAATCCCCCCAATTCTCTCACTTCCCACTGCTTCCTTGTGGAACTGACTCAACAGCTGCTCTGTTCAGTCATCCCACATCTGCCTCCAAATCCTCATCCCGGCTGCACCCTCAGCGTCTGGCCAGGTGCTCCCTCTGGCCGCTCAGGCAGCTCCTGAAGGCGCACCCCTCCCAGAAGCCTTTCCTGGTTGCCAAAAGGAAAGAGGCCTGGCTTATCCCCACCTGTCCCAACACAGTGCTTCCACATCTCTTTCCTTGCCTGCCTTGTCCGAGAAAACCCCAGCCTCTTCGCTGGCATCTAACCCGGAGAGCCTGCTTCCTGATGCAGCCGGTGGCCAGTGCCGCTGGCCCTGTGTGTCTGCACCTGATCACTGAGTCCAGACTCCCAGAAGGAAGATGAAGTGCAGAGGCCACAGGTCTTACCACTATGGTTGTCGAGGAAGAAGGTGGCTGTGACTTTTCTGTCTGCATGTCCTGATTTGCCACGGGAAGGACTTCTCCCAGCCATTTAAAAACCACCCAGTCTACAAACAGCTTAAGAAGTGATCAAAGGTGTTTCCCCTTAACCTGGATCAGCAACCTTCTCAACAGAGTCAGCCTGAGGACGCTGGGTAACTTTGGAAGGAAACAAATACAAACCAGCAATGTGGATGGGGCTGGAAAGCACTTAGATTTTCATGGGTTGCTTTGTCCATGTACACATCCAGCTTATTCCTGAGGGAATCAAATTAGAGAAACCCTTAAAGGAAAAAGTCAGTAGGTCAAACCTTGAAAGGCCTACCTGGTACCTGACACATCTTAGAGCGCCCTTGAGACGCTGTGGCTTTATCAGAGCAATAAACGAACCCGGAGCGATTCTTCCTGCACAACTTCCTGGTCACGCTCTGCACCCACATGAAGCACAGCAAGAAGGCTCTGAGCACAAGACGAACGCTCGCGGTTTCAAGAAAGGCTCATGCGTCTTGGCTCCCACGGCCTTTTGAGCTCATTACCCTGGCCTGGATCTGAAAAAGGACGGAATTTAGGATCAAGAGAAATTGGATGTCCCGGCATCGACCTTTGGTGTTTGTGAAACTGAGAAGAAAAGATCTGGTGTGTCAGGCTTCCTCATGGGTCTGGAATTCCACCTGTCATCTCAAACAGGGTAAACAAATCATGGACATACTTTTCCTCCAGGAAGAACTGCACTCTTTTTCACAAATAGGCCTGGGTACGGTTTGACAATTAGAATTGAGCAGAATAGAGGTGGAGAAGCTTCTTTTTTTTTTTTTTAAGTTCCACCCTCTTCTCAAATATTTAAAGTAGAATAACGAATAGGTGGTGACTGTCCTGTTGGTCAACTCTTTTCCACTTCTGCCACCCACATGCAGGCCTCGGTCACACTTTTCTCAGGCCACCATGGTTGACGCTGCCTCCCAACCCGTCTGATCAAGGCTGGAGGTGCTGGGGTCCCCAGAGGAGGAGAGCCGACAGTCTTCATTCTGTCATCCCCAGGGTTCAGGCTTTTGTTTAATGACATCTATGAGCTAAGGATGACATGGAGGTGCTGGGACGGTAGAGGAGGTTTTGAGGGACCAACAGGGGAAGAAAGAGAGGAGATATCAGGGATGGCAGGGAGAGGAAAGAAACTTCATGGGGAATTTTGGGTGTTTTCATTGGTTTCCAGGTGAACTGTCATCCCAGGGGATCTTCAGTAAAATATCCATTTCTTTTTCTTCTTTTTAAAAAAAAAATCCATTTCTTGTTGGTATATTGTGGAACTGAATTTCTGTGTTGGCCAAATTCATTCATTCAACAAATATTTGAAAGCCTGCATCCGCCAGTAGTGTTCTAGTGCAGAGGATAAAACAGTGAATAAAACATACCCAACACAGGACAACTTGGATGAAAACAAACATCCTGGATGCATCTCCAAGGAATTCTGCTGTGTAAAAAAAGCCAATCCCCAAAGGTTAATACCATGTGAATCCACTTATATACCATATTTGAAATGACAAAATTTTGGCAATGGTATCTCTCAGGATTATTTCTTAGAACTGCACATGAAGCTACAATTCTTACAATAAAAATGTCAATTAAAAAAAATTCCCTGACCTGATGGAGGCTCCATTTGAATAGAAGCTAAGTATGGCTTCATGGTCCCTCAGGACGACCCCCTCTGGGGTATTCCATGCACCGTTACCAGAGATTCCTTTCTGTCTTCCAGATATGTCCCTGAATCTCCCTTGGTGACTGAACAAAATCCAGGCTCAAGGGAGGAGGCAGGTGCAGAGTTAGGGTGTGATCCCAGCCCCCTGACCCCATGATGTGGGATCTGGGAATTACCCAGCCTGGCTTTGACTCTCTAAACCATGCACCAGTCACCTCCTCAACCAATGAGGTGAGACTCAGATGTCCATGGGGCTCCCAGCACTCTCATGGGACCCGGCTTGTCTGTCTTCCCTGCTTTCTCCATCTCCACCACCAAGCTCCTTCACCTCTGCCCTTGACGCCTGTCTGTCCTGGGAGCACGTTCAACTTAAGAGAACCTCCTTTCCTGTACAGACTGGCATGCCTCACCACCCTGGTTCTCAGCATCAGGCATCAGGACCAATCCTGGATTCCAGCCCCTTGGCCACCACCAGGCCAGTCAGTGTCCAGCTCCCCCCCCACCATAAAGGAGGATTCCCACCCCAGTCTGTTGTCCTGGTGGTTGTGCAATGAGGCATCTGGCTGTCTGTGAACTGTCTAGCTCTGCCACTCTGTTTTAGTGCCTTAGAAGATCTTCAGAGGAAAGAAGCCATGTAAAATTATAACGAAGTCTGAACAGACTTTAAAGTTTTTATTATTTTATATTATACCATGCCTTGCATGGAATGACCACAAAGCCACATGCCTTCTGGGCCATGTAGTTTACTAACAGGGCATGGTTGGGAAAACAAGAAATCATAATCTAGTCCACTGGAAAGAAGGGACAGAAGGAGGGAGAGGAAGGCAAGGAGGAAGGAGCAATAATAAATATTTATCTGTCTCTTTTCCAGTTTATCAGTGGGACCCTGCTTGTCCACGCTGCCCATGAGAGCATGGTTATGTGACTTAATGCAACTTCTGATTCATGATCATGGTCTTTATACCAAAGGAAAGGGGATTTCTTAGACGTGCTAGAGCTAATCAATAAATATCTGATAGACTTTCAAACAAGGTTTTTATGGCCAAAATAAAATGAAAGAAAAGATAGTGACAACTTCTATTTCTGTAACTTTGTCTCAAAGCAACCACAGAAAGAGTAAGTGCAACATGAAATGAAGGGCCACCCCACCACCACCCCCAGCCCCAGGAAGGGACTAGCCTTGAGTCCTGTGACGCTGTTCTCCAGGTCCCAAGCCTCCACCTGGTCAGGTCTGTGGGGCCACATGGCCGTCTGAAGCCCCATCCTGCTCTTCCCAGGAAGGATGCTTCCCTGTGCCCCAGTCTGCATCCGAGATGAATAGCCCATGGAGATCCAGGTGCATCTCGACATCAACAGATGCACGAGCCAACTCTGTAAAAGTTCTGGCATCCAGAACAAGCAGAAAGGGCAGCTTCTGGGGATCGGTGGAGACAATGGCTGATAAGATAATTCCTTTGGGGAAACAAAAAGAGACACTTTGTAAAAGTGCAGTCCTGAACCTCGTCCAGCTCGAGGGATAAGTTTCTCAGCTATGTCTCCCTGTCCTTTGGACGTAAAAATCTAATCAAAACAGACAGGAAGTGAATTTGATATTTCGTGTGAGCAGAAGGGAAGGGCCAGGGAAATCAGAAAGCTAGGAGTTGGAAGACCTGGTTCCAGGCCTGGCCGGGCCAGTCTCTTCACCTCTCTAAGCCTCAGTCTCTTCATCTGTAGAGTGGGGGTAATCTTTCCCACCCTCAGAGGGTTGCTGAGAGCATCTTACACAGTCAGTTATGAAAGCACTTTGTAAATTATTGCACCCCCTGGAGAATAGCTATTTTCCTACTATTTAGAAACTCTAATTATAGACAATCAGCTTCGATGCTGCACTTAGGCTAATAGACGTCACTCAGCTAAACTAAGACCAGTTGTGCTCAAGTAGTATTTGAATGCGTCCAATTCACCTCCTGCATGTGCAGCATGCTAGAAATTCAGCTTCCCTCTCTGTAAAATGGAAATATTCTAAATATTCACTCTTAAGGGATAGAGGCTTAAATGGAATAATGCACATAAACTTCCAGCCAGTATTTGTGATTCCTCCCGAGGTCCCCTGGGTTTCAGAGGGGTTGAGCAGAGCTGAAGTCAGTTGGGCTTGTATTTAAACCCTACCTCTATACGTCCTGGGTGTGTGACCATGGGGAAGTTGCCTCACTCTCTGAGCCTCTCCTTTGGTGACATGAAGACAATGCTGTTCCCTGCCCACGAGAGAATGTGCAGGATGCACTCGCCCAGCCCAGAGGGAGGCCAGCCTCAGCAAGAGGTGGTACCGACCATCCCACACCTTGGAGAGGACAGTGACACCAGGCTCCCCCACTGCCCTGCCATCCAGCGTGCCATGCCATGCAGGTCAGTAGAAAGACAGGGTCCAGGTAGAAAACCACTCCCTTTTCACCTGAGGGAAGCAGCTGGCAGGCTCCGTGGGGCAGCTGGCCCTCCCCTGCAGGTGTGGGCAGCCCCACCCAGGGTTCTAGTTACCCTCCTTCACATCCCCAGTGGTGTGGGCAGGGCACTTCTGGGACAAGGGCAGAATCAAGGAAGGAAAGGACTATCCAGTCACGTGGAAACCTAGCCAGGAGAGATGGGCCTCAAGCACTGCTAGGGGCTCCGTGGAAAAGTTACAGGCCGAGGGGGTTAGGAGTATCCAACGCTTTAAGGCTGCTTTGGTTTGTGTCTGTAAGTTAGGGCCTTGGATGTGGACTCATTGTCCTTAAAAGGAATAAAATTTTTCTGCTGATTAAAAAAAAAAAAGAATGCCAATACAATGAAGTTTAAAACCAAGATTCCACACTCTAGGAGAGGGTAGGGCTGCTCAGCCAAGGAAGTGGGCTTCTGTGCAGCCTGCAAGTCAACCTCTCCGGGAGAGAGGTCTGAATGGCTCCTGCCAGGTGACCTCTAAGCTCGGGGACTATTGGCCTGATGAGAGTGTCTTTGTTTACCTGGGGCCACACCATATAACCTATCCTAATAAAGGGATCCAGGAGGAGGCTTTGGGCCACAGGTGTCAGCTCAACCTCCAAGGGGGCTGAAGACTAAAGGTCAACCATGACTGCAGGACCGAGCCCCACACAGGCTCTGACATGAGGCTCAGGTGAGCTTCCCTGGTTGGCCACACTCCGGGAATACTGTTGGGGAAGGTGGCAGGGTCTTTGACTCCCTCAGAGAGGACCCATGGAAACTCCATGCCTGGGACTCTCCCAGATCCTGCCCCACTCACCTCTTCTCTCTCCATCTGTATCCTCTCGCTGTGATAAACCATAACCATGGGTATCACAGTTCTCAGTGTGTCCTGTGAGTCTTTCTATGAAGGGCGAGAGTGGTCTTGGGGACCCCTGAACTTGCAGCTGGTGTCAGGATTGGGGGTGGGCTGGGGGACCCCTTCACCCCACAGCAATGGAGCCAGACAAACCTGGGCTGCAAAGCATGACTCTGCCAGCTGCGTGATGGGGGATCACCATCCCCAAACTGTGCCTCTGCTTGGGGGCTGATGACAAGCTCAGCACAGCCTGTGGGCTGCCCCTCCTGGAGCCTTACCATCATCCTCGTCCCGGGCGCCCGGCGTGGGCACAAACAGGGGCTCCGCCGGCCAGCAGTGCTCTTCTCCCCATTTCAAGGATGACTTTGTGAGGACGTCGTATTTTATTATCTGTGCATCCAAAGAGAAGAAACGTGCGATTGACGGGTTGGAGAGCGTGCTAATTCCCTGGGAACAGGAAGGCACCAGGGTGCCAGAGAGAGGGGAGTGAGCCCCTCGACTGCAGACTGACACTGGCGAAGGTAGACCCCAAAGGACGTCTGCCTCTGGTTGGTGTAACAATAACAACAAAAACAGCTGGCTTCCTCCTTCAATTGTGAGCAGAGGTCTTCCCACTGCCACGTGGCTGACACTACATGCTGAATTCTTTTAGAAATAAAAACCTCGGATTTATCTGATATTTGGCACTGTACTGTAATTTTTATACGTGTTAGATAAACTAATGTATTCAATGCAAACCTTTAAAGTATCATACGATTCCTTTGTTGTTTTAAAAGTGCGAGTCCCTGGCCTCTGAAACCCTAATAGACCTCTTTCCCCTTAGGGTGTGGGATTAGCAGGGAGTCACTCAGGGTGTGTGTATGTGTGTGTGGGAACCTTCTTTTACTTTGTACATTTCTGCACTGCTTGCATTTTAAAAAAAAGAGTTTCCATTTTATTACTGAAAAATGAAGACATTAATGAAAAGCGGTATCCGTACAGCACTGAGCATAGCACCTGGGAAAGAGGTGTTCACCAAATAGTACTTTAAAACCCCAAATAAATTGTCCAAAAGTTTCAGCTATACCCTCTCTCCTTGAGACAGTGAGTTCCTTGAGGGCAGGAATTGGGATCCCCTGTTCATGTCCTTTTTCCTCAGTGCTACCACTTAGCAGTGTAGTAAACCTGCATCCAGTAAAGAAATCAATGGTAAACTCCAGCCACCACCTCTTTCCTAAGTGCCAGCCCGTAAGGCGCAGCTCCCTCTCAGGGACGATCCATCATTCCATCATTGCTTCCAGCGTGTATTGTCCCAACTGACCTCACTCTCTGACCTACCCCTGCGTCCTGACCTCCATCTTCCAATCAAGTTCATGCAGCCAGAGAACCTGGGAACTCAGCTTTGCAGACAGACACAACCGGGGCAGATGCCCTCTCAGGGGACCAGTACCTTGGTTGGGATGGGGCTCCACTGGACTTCAGCAGCAAAGACGTAGCGGTACCGCTTCCCGTTGTGAGCATAATTGATCCGAGGCAGCTCTAAGCCTAGAGAGAAATGACCTCACTGACAAAGACCCTTCACTGAGCGCTGGGACGCCCATCCTTCGTGTCAGTCTGGGTATCCCTTCCACAAAGACGGCTCCTAAGCCAGGATCCTGAAACTTGATTCAGGCCCTGGCCTGGGTCCAAGGTGGTCCTAGGGCAGGAGGAGGGAACCTCTAATAATTACCCTGGCTCCATTAGAAGCTTCAGGAACAAGATAGACCTGGGTTTTTAAGTGTATAAACATCTTTAATTATCCAAGATAGAAATCAAAGAGAATTGCATGATTACAAGCAGAGGCTACTGCAATTTTTAAAATATCTTTAAAAAAAAGTACTCGTATATGTGCACACGTGTGTGTGGGTGTGAATAGAAACTTCTGAAGCCGTGGAAAGGAGTGTCAATGGGGAATATTTAAATAAATGTGGTGAAATCATATAATAACATTATATAATGTTTACAAAGAAGTTTAATAACATGGGAAAATGTCCACATAATAAGATAAAGTATTAAAGCCTGCTTATAGAATTATCTCCACTATCTAACAAATGAAGAGGAAAATTTAGAAGCATTGCCAGGGTGATAACTTTCTTATAGTCATTTATAGTTTATATTGTCCATAATGTTTCTCATTATGTGAAATGTTCATTACACCTATTACTTTTGTAATCCAAAAAGCTTTAAAATGCTGTCCATTTCCATGCATATATATCTATATACACCTATTGTGTCAAATCGAATTTCTTTCCTTCTTTCCTTCTCTTCCTTTTTCTTTTTAATGGAGGTACTGAGGATTGAACCCAGGACCTTGTGCATGCTAAGCATGTGCTACCATTGAGCTATACCCACCCCCTCAAATTAAATTTCTAAGTTCAAATACTGAAGTGAAATTCCCGCTTATGAAATATTCCAGGTAGCTGGATCCAAGTGCTGCTGAAAATATAACGTTTAAGAAAAGAAGAAGCAGAGATGGAAATACCTGCCATGTGTGAAGGCCTCTTGGAATGGACTCAGGGCACAAATGGTTATTGGGTTCAGTGGGGAGAGAAGGAGGGTGGACCACTGAGATGGGAAGATGTCTGGTCCCACAGACAAATAAACGTGAAACTCCCAAGAGACAAGTCAAGCTGAACGTAAGGACCAGGGACCACCCCCACAAGTCAAGCAGAACAACATGCCCACTGGTGGCCCCAGAGTAGGCCTGAGACTTCCCGTGTTGCTCCTGGGCCCCTCAAACCTGGTCTGGAACACCCCTCTCCTCCACCTTGTAAATGACCAGTTATCAGCACTTGGTTAAGTAAAATATATTCATCCCTGTGAATTCCGTGTGGCTATTAAACCCACGCTCTTGAAGAACCTTCTGGATGTGGGAAAATTCCCGGGCTACATTCATTAAGTGGAAGAAACCATTTCAGAACATTCTAGATGGTATGGTACGCACCTTGTGTAATGGTAAATGCAGAGGTTAAGGGATTTCAAGCCAGGGTAACCTGGGTTCAGATCCTGGCTCTGCTGCCTGACCTTGGGCAAGTTACTGAATTATTCTCAACTCTGCCATCCTCGGCTCTAGAACATGAGCAGCACATGGCAGTGCCTGCCTCTTTGAGACGTTCGAATCCTGGCTACCTTTAGCCAGACCTTCACTGCAGCCAGGCCCTCAACTAAGCCCCTGATATGCGTGAACTCACCTAATGTGACAAGAACAGGACGGGACTGTTGGGAGGAAAGACGGGAAGTGTGGGGACCCCTAGGAGAGGGCCTGGGAAACGCCAAGCAGCCCCTACATGATGGAGACGGTGTGGGTGTTTCCAAAGAGCTGTCACGGGTGGAGGGATTGAGGTATTGCCTACTGTTCTACTTTCCAGTGTTGCCCAAGGATGCTACAATAAGCCAGAAATCCCTTTTCAGAAACAAAAAGACCACAGTATTTTAAGCCTCCATCTGTCCGTACGATGTGACAGGTGAGCGGAGGCGGAAGTTGATGCTTTAAGAACTGGGACGAACATGTCATTTACAAAGACTCCTGGAGGCTGGGGCGCCACACAGAACCCGTCACAGGATCCATGGGATGCTGCCTGCAGAAGTGGTTGTTATGGCAGATCTGAGGTCATCCTAGGAGAGTCCCCAGGACGGTCCCTTCCAGGTGCCTGACCCTGGTAGGGGGCAGTGACACAGGGAGCAGGGCTTCCAGCTTAGAGCCACACCCCACCACTCCCCAGCTGAGTTCAGGGCAGGTCAGTTCACTCTGCATTTAAGTATTGAGCACAGATTGCTCTAAGCCAGCCTTCTGTCACGTTCCAGCGACAACTCTGAGCACAGAAACTCGGTCCCCGCCCTCCCCGGCTTCTATTCTAGGGCAGCGGTTCTCAGTCAGGTTGGAGGCTTGCTGCTCCACATCCTCCAAGGCCCAGGGCAGCCCCCAGCACTAAGAAGGGGCTGGCCCCCGGCCTCCGCACTGCCTGGGTTGAGAAGCCCTGCTC